AAATTTAGTTGTTCTAGTGTATATTTAAAATTGAAGGCATCTTTAAAAAATGAACCTGCAGATGTTACATATGGTATGATATGTCTGATCGCTACAATACTTATATAATGCTTCATACAGTTGATTTATACATGAATCTTTAAAACCTACCTCCACAATATTAAGTAATAAGGAACAAACAACAATAGCTCCAGCATTTACCATGGGATTGTGTGGCTTCTCTGTAATAAAAAATTGTTCAGAATATTAAAAGCTGTTTAACAAAGATATAAACTAAATAACAAGCATACTAATAAGAAACTGCAATTATATTTTTCAAACAAATATTAGTGAATGCATTTTCTTATTTCAACAAAACTTTATAATTTATTATAATGTTGGCAAACTCACTATCATGGTTAGTAGTCTATATATGATCAACTAAGTATAATTATTAACTAGTAACTAATTTATTTTATAACTAGATATTAATTACTAATTAGGTTTTTATCCTGCATTATTTTTATTATTTTGTTGCATCTTCAGGGAAGACCTAAGAAGGAGACTAGATTTAGATAGCTGATGAACTGGTGTCTCCATAATGACTATTTAAAATTTAATACACTATTGTTTCTAATTGTAGAAATAACCATTATGTTATCTTAAAACTGAAAACATTTTAGTTCATTCTTGTTTACTTGGTTTCCATGTGAACAACATATAATCAGCTAAGAGGGGCACTCAACAGAGAGCATACCTATGTCATGCAGCATTGATCATATTCAGCCCTCAAAAAATATGAAAATGTGTCCAGATGTCCATCATTATCAATGGATATGGACCATTTTTGGCAGAACAATGAGGAATAATATTCTACATATGTGCACCAAGTTCCACCACAATCTGATCATTTTTGACTGAATTATAGAGCAAAAATAATATTAAAAATCAGGCCCCATATTAACAGATAGGATTTTTTAATTTTCGTGATCTTTCTGTGACCTTGACCCTCCAAAATTAATTACTTTAGTTGTTTCATAGTCCATATGTATATCAACTTTCTTCAAAAGCCTTATTTGTTAGACTTTGAACCAGGCTTTTGGTATAAGTACGTGAGTTTCTCTCTAGTTGAAATCTATGCAATGAAATCTAGTTGATCTCCTGCAACTCACTAACAGTCAGACTTGTTCAAATACTCATTTGTTTTAAACATTATTAGCTTTTATTTTGTCAAGAATGCAGATAAGATTTTGCTTTCTAGCACCTAAACTTAGAATTGATTATTGCTCACAGCAAATTCAGTGAATCTTGTTTTAGGTTAAGTGTTTTGGTTCAGCATCTTGTAAAATAAAAACAAGAGGTTTTGAAAAATATATTTTTTCTGATTACTACACATACTACAGATGTTGGCAAACATATTTGAATCAAATAGCAAATACAAGTAAAAATTGGGAAAAAAACGTTATTTAATAATCTTCTCAATATACATATTGCAATATATATCAAAGGCATTTTGTGTCTCAAAAGTCTGATGTTTTTTAAATAAAGTTGTGTTTCAGTCACAAGCTCTCTTTGTATCTGGCCTATTGGTCTGGTATTCACCAGGGAATGCCACATTACTACAAGAACTCTAATACTAACTAATAGTATTTTTAGTAGTGGTCTAAGCTTTTCTGTGAATTACTTTTGATATTTAATGAAAGGCTTGAATTTGTCAAATAAGGACATAATAGATATGCTTTTAATATCTCTCTCATAAGTTTGACTATATAACTTTGAACATTTTTTGTCCCATAATTATGTTGAGCAAGAAAACTATCCACCTGAACACATGACCTTGCATAACAGTAACTAAACAAAACAACCATGATGAAGGAAGCTTGTTATGCTCTGTGGCTTTACCCAATACTCTATAAGGCAGTCGTCTTGGACCATTCCTCAAGTATAATAAGATTTTCATTTTACTTTTATTAATACTAAGCACTTGAAGTTTTTGAGCTTGTAAAAGTACATGAAACTAGCTGACATACCCTTCAATGCACAGTGAAGGCACAGGGAGGTAAGATCCAAGTGCTGACCCACCCCATGTCACTCCCTGGGGGGCTATGCTAGGTTTGTTGAAAGTTGGTCCAGCAGTTCACCAGTTATAAGTAGAAAAGCACACAGACTTTTGTAAAACAATGGTTAAAATTAAAAATTACTATAATGTAAACAGTGACACTGCTACAGAACTCACAGAGAGCATTTCAACAACTTCTTCTACCAGTACTATAAAAAAAACAAAAAACTGGCCATTCTATCAACATGACTCCCTTAGATCTGAAAACTGGGTTTATAATTAAAGCAAATACAGCAATGACAAAAGCCTATTAGGTTGTTTGAGTAATGTTCATTCCTGTGGGATTAAAACCTTGGTTCAAGAATCGGTGACCTTCAGTTTTATATCAATTCTCTGTTACATAATAAAATGGTTTATGTTGTCTTTAATTGTTAAAGAAATATGGAATATGTTTGTTTTTCATTTTATTACCAATCTACTTTTGTTACTTTTTAACTTTAAATCATGAGTAGGTCATAGAGAAATTGCCATGTTTTGATGGCAACTTTGAACAAAAGAAAAAATCTAATAGATATATTTTTTAGATAAAACTTTGCATAGGTTTAGGGTTTGACCTCTTGCTTCATAAAACACAATTAAACTCACAAAATTTTGTTTTGGTATTGATGAAATGTATTCCCTAAACTAGTCTACTTTTGCACGGGACCATTTCATTCTGATCTTGATTTCCACTTTAAGAATGGTTTTCACATGTTCATAACATCTACTAAAATGTGCGCACTTAGTAGAAACAACAATAAATACTCTTCTACTGTTTTTTATGACTTTAATTGGTTGAGGTTTGATCAATCATGTTACTATATAATCTCTGACAATGAAAGTGGTTACAATAATAACAACAACATATCTTATTCTTAACTATTCCTTTTCTTCCATGGTTTTCTTGTTCTCTTTTGATTGGATTCTAATGCTTTCAGATAACCTCTCTTTATAATTGTTTTAATTTCACAAGGAATCCCATCATGATTGCATCCACAAAATTTGCATTTCATGCAAACGTGACATCCTCCAACCTTGCATTTGAAAATGAGAGTAGGTAAATATGACTTTTGAAGATTTTCATAGTGCATATTGACTAGTTTAGTACTGAATAAAGGTCATACATAGGTAAATTACTTTGCAAAATTTAACAGACTTTTACCAAAATATTGACACAAATGGGGGAAAGAACTCATTTTCAAATAAAGATTTCCCTGCAAACAGTGAGCCAATAAGCACAAAAGATGTACTGCTCAAAATCTCTAATGCTAAGTTATAGTTGAAAGGCAGTTTTAACCCTTTTGTCGTTTACCAGATAGTGTGATGATAAAAACACCACTAATTTCTGTAAGATCTGTAAGATTGATTTTAGGTTTAAGTAACTTTGTATCATTTATTTTACTATCTTTCCTTTATATTTGGTTTTAATTAGCAATGATGTTTTAATCTTTTCTCATTCTTCATCTTATGCTGTTTGTAGCACATCTAGTTTCCATATCATTTTTGAGCTTTGTTTTCAAATTGTTTCCGTATAATTACATTCTCTCCCCCCTTACTGATTATTATGATTCTTGTAATTCCTTTTTCTATCCTATTTCTATATTCCAATACAGTCAGACCTTCATATTGAAGGATAACCTCTTTCATACTGCCATCAGGAATTGCTATAGATACTCATGATATCACTGAGGATCACTTCAACTTTCATACTTTACATCTTCCTATTTTCATATTTATTCCCAATTCATCACAGAAGAAAGAAGGTCTTGAAATTACCTAGCTTATTGGGTTTATTTTGTAATTCCTCTTAAGTTTCATCCCGCAAGCTTTCTTATTATTATCGTTATGGTAGACAAATATTCTATAGCAGCATTTCCCAAACTTTTTCAGCCAAGGAACACTTTTGAGCTCTAAAACTATTGACAGAACCTTTAAAGAACATTCTTATGTTAAAAAGTTAAATCAAGACTAGTTTGTTGTTTCCTTGACTACCACTAGTAATTAACTTACAGCGAGTCATTAGTTAAGCTCCGCCCATAAATGAAACAACCAATGACAAAGGAAATACAGGGTGATATGATTTATGGGCTGACAAGCTTTTAAAAAATACCTGTACCTGGCCTGTTCGTTTACTCTGACTACATTACACAAAATTTTCTCACAGAACCCTTAGATATATCATACAGAACCACAGGGTTCCGTGGAACACAGTTTGTAATACTGTTCTATAGCATCATCACTAAGAAGTTTTGGTCAGGGGACCAATTTAAATCAGTATTCCTAGGTAATATTCCATATTCAGCATATTCCATTTTTTATTGTTACTGATTTAGAACTTTCAAGGTGGCATTCCTCCATGTAGTGATACCAATGAATTAAACTGATATTTAGTAGTGTTAGTACAAAGGTAGAGCAGAGACCTTAAGCGCTAGAATTTGATAGCAGTGCAACAAGGATGTGTAGTAAGTTTATTTATTTGTTTGTTTTTTATATTGGCACAATGCTTTACAAGGAGAATCTGCAATAACTTAGAGGACATGTAGTTAGGGTAGGCAAGGAAGGCACTGTTTTGTAATGTAGTTAGGGTAAGCAAGGAAGGCACTGTTTTGTAATGTAGTTAGGGTAGGCAAGGAAGGCACTGTTTTGTAATGTAGTTAGGGTAAGCAAGGAAGGCACTGTTTTGTATTGTAGTTTTGAAAAATAAACAAAGTATATATATATATATCAGATTATTATTTTGGTTTTACTTTTTGTGTAATTATCTGCAAAAGAAAAATCAATAACACTTTTCTATTTATACATTAAAGCTGTGTTTATAGAATGTGATACCCACAAAATCAATAACACTTTTCTATTCATACATTAAAGCTGTGTTTATAGAATGTGATACCCACAAAATCAATAACACTTTTCTATTGATACATTAAAGCTGTGTTTATAGAATGTGATACCCACAAAATCAATTTTCTATTGATACATTAAAGCTGTGTTTATAGAATGTGATACCCACAAAATCACTTTTCTATTTATACATTAATGCTGTGTTTACAGAATGTGATACCCACAAAATCACTTTTCTATTGATACATTAAAGCTGTGTTTACAGAATGTGATACCCACAAAATCAATTAATATTAATAATATCCAATTAATTACGTAAGAATGCAATATGGTGCTTCAACTGCCAATTCAAATTCCTAATTATTTAAACTACTACAGAACAATACTGGTTATACTTCATGAAATTTAAACATTACAATGCATCCAATAATGTGGACTGACAGTAATGGCTACTCAGAAATTTCATTTGCCACACATTACTGACTAGCCATTCCTAATTCTGAACTATCATGATAAACAAATTGGAAGACAAATAGTCAATAGCATCCACCACTAACTCTTGGGCTCTAATCAAATAGTGAAATTTAATCATCTCTGTTATAATGCATCCACAGCCCCAAAGTGCAGAGCAATATTTTGTAGCAACAGGATGAGAACTCAGATTCACCATAAAGCTTGCAATCTTGTATAAATTTTCTCCACTTTTCGAGTACTTACATTTAAAAAATTTTGTATCATGGTTAACATAGTTAAAAACTCAATGTTACAAATATTATCATAGGTTGCATACAATTTTATGTGATTTATGTTAAAACATTAATATGCAAGTGCCTTTTTTGTGCATATGTTTATTTTTGGAACTGAATACTTACACAAAATGTTCAGTTTCCTGTTGGGAAGGAAAGAAATAAGTTTAATGTTCATTAGTCTACTTATTTTTCTGGATTATATAAGAATGAAAATGTATATGTCATTCTATATAAACAATTAATCACATTAAAGATTCAAATTTGTTGTAAAACTGTCCAATATATTTTTAAACTCGTTTCCAACCAAACATCAATTTTATTGTAAATGAATTTGTTGACACACTTTTAAAGTTGAAAATGTAAGCATTACAAAATGTCAAATGATGTTTAGTATATTTCAACTTATATTCCTACAAATCAGAAGTAACATGTTTTTTTACTGAAAATTATATGTACCATATCTAAGGTAGGGAATCTACTCATGTTTTAACTGTAAAAATTGTGTTAGTGAAGAGTAACTTTTCTGTATCATGTGTTTAATCCACCAGTGTTTCAACTGTAAACAATATGCTGGTAGAGTGTAAACTTCCTGTATTATGCATGCAATCTATACATTTCTTAACTGTTGGTAATATGTTATTTTTCTGTGACATGCATGCACTTATCTGAAAAAGCTTATATAGCACACACAAAAAACAATTAAAGAAAAAAGTCATGCATCAGGCACAGCTCTATAACTTGGAACCTGCTGTTGCAACATATTGTTTTCAGCAGCATGAAAGATCTCTCAAGCTGTTCAACAACTTTAGTTCAACTTATCAATACAAAATAAATTAATGAAGCCACTCAAATTAATATATAATTGATCACTTAATAGGCCAAATTCCAAGATTTATAGCTACATCTTTCCAGTCTCAAGAGATTTTTAGTATTATATATTAAATAACCAAACTTTTCAAGGTAGGTTAAGGTTCATGATTTAGGCACAGATTTTATAAACACTTGGTCTGTCTCTGAATATTATTTACTCACTGTTGTAGTCCAACACAAGTTCATTGAACATGCGACCACTCGGCTCCTGACCAACGTATTGGTGGACGATGTCAGAACCAAGCTCATTCAGAGCTATAGCATAGTTCAGAGGCTTTCCTGAGGACTGGATTGTGAATGGCACTTCAGTGTCTCCAATAGAATACCTAGTGATTCAGATAGCACAAATACTGTGTACAAAGTACCTAAACACAGAAAATGTAGCAAGATCCCACCATTACAACTCTGGCCTAACAGAACATTAGCTTCAATCCCTCAATGTTAAAATAGGAATATATATATATCTACATGAAGATGTTTTCTTAGCTAAACATTAAATTCCTCACTTCCAGTATGAGGAACTGCACAACCTTGTTATTCTAGCAAAATTGCTGTCCCTTCCCCAAGTGTCTCAAAAATATTTGTTTGTGATTGCCAAAGTGACAGTCAGTATAGTAATGTAGTTACAATTTCAAAAAAGTGGTTATTATCTACTGACACAACACAGTTTTTTATAAAAAGTAACATAAAAAACAATTTTGTAGGTTATCATGATTTTCTATCCCCGTACATTAATTCCTTCCTATTTTAATGATATACAAAGATTTGGTAAGTAATATTATATTTAATATACAACAGAATAAAGCTCAGTCAAACCAGTTAAATAAACGTTGATACAAGCATCAATTTGTCTAAAGAGAGACTCTTCAGTTGTGAACATATCACAGGTAGTATTATGATAATGTAAAAGTTATGAATGTTTCTTTTTCAAATTATGTATTATAAAGGTTTTGTTTAATACTGTATTGGTTTTCTCTTCTGCTAAATATATCAATTCCCATTCAACTTTGTGTACTTTGTATAAGTAATTTTACATATGTAAAATAATTAAATATTTAACTGTGTTTCACATTTTGCTCCATTATTGCTCCTAATACTCCTTGCTTGTTAAAGCCAAAAAAAAAGCATTTTAATGAACAAAGTTGTCACTAGGAGTGTTCAATAATGTATATTATACAAGATCACTGAATGACTGCAGAGATTTCAGTTAGTTGTAGAAAACTAAAGAACAGGAGGAGAGGTGCAAATTATTGTGTTTAATGGCATTAGCTTAAGAGGATGCCCAAGACAAGTTAAAAATTTAATGACATACAATTCTATGCTAAATGCCAAAGGCAGTTAAAAGATAAGCTCAATAAGCTAGACATATGTGTGCAATAGTATTATGATAACTATTAACATTAAGTAACAGTAATTATAAAACATATCCAACTGATTTTAATATGTGTGGAACTGAGAGAAAGCTCAATTACACAAGCTTGCAAATTTAAATTCATAAAAGTTGTTTTGGTTTTAACAATGGATTTTCCATAATTCAGCTACGCAGATTTCAAAAATAATATTAATATTTTTTCTATTAT